AAGTGGCAGACGGAATACAATCTGAGAAAGTGTGAGGTTATGCACTTCCGTAGAATAGATGTTATTTTCTCAAACAGGGAAAAGCTTCAGAAATCTGAAGCACAAAGGGATTTAGAAGTCATGGTTCAGGATTTGCAAAAAGTTAATATGCATTCACTTTGAGAGGACTAGAATACAACAGCGTGACTCTACTGCTGAGCATGGTTAAGGCTCTAGACAGACTGCATTTGCAACATTGAGAGTAGTTTTGGGCCCTATATCTATGGAAGGATGCATTGCCTTGGAGGTTTACAAGAATGATCCCGAGAGTGAAGGACTTTTTATATGAGGAGCAGTTGAAGATTCTGGGTTTGTATTCGTGATATTTAGGAGGATGGAGGTGGGGGATCTCATTGAAACTTACAGAGGCTTGAATAGAATGGATGTGGAGAAGACATTTCCATACGTGGGAGAGACTAGGACCTGACGGCACTGCCTCAGAATGAAGGGACAACCCTTTAGAACTGAGATGAGGAGGAATTTCTTCAGTCAGAGTGAGATGAATCTGTGGAACTCATTGCTGCAGAAGGCAGGCAGGCCAAGTCTTTAAGAGCCTTTAAGACAAAGATAGATAGGTTTTTAATCAGTAAAGAGATCTAGAGTTACATGGTGAAGTCTGGAGAACAGGGTTGAGAATCATTTCAGCCGTGATCGAATGGCAGAGAAGACTTGATGGACCAAATAAGGTAATTCTGCTCCTATCTTATGATCTTATGATGTTATGGAAACATAAACGTGGGAAGATATGTCAATATACTGCCTTTTTGTTCGCATGTATCATGCTCCATTTTGTTGATCAGAAAGCACAAAACCCATTTCTTAACCTCTGCTTTAAAGTAAGGTGCTATGACATGTCCAAATAAATTAAATAAATTCCACTCCAGTTATTTTGCTTTGTTGGGGGCAAACCCAGCCCAGTTGAGTTCCAAAGAAGAGTGATATTGGATTCAAAATGTTAACTCTGTTTCTCTATCCAGAAATGCCACCTGACCTGCTGAGCTTCTCCAGCACCTCCTGACCTTGTGAAGCTCTACTCACTAGCAGCTGGTGACTTCTGTGAATGTTTTAAAGGCTATTCTACAGACTGAAAAACAAAACCAATATCACAATTCTCTCAGAATCATATTAGCCAACTTTGAAGACTCCACTAGCATCATCCCAGTATATGATACACCAGAATGGAGATGCAAGGATGGATAGTTTAGCAGCCCTTAACATTAACTCCAGAAGCCATGAAGACTCATAGCTTCACATCATACATGGCAAGAAAATGACCTCATTCTTCGTCAACAGGTTAGCCAGTATTCATACACAAATGTAAAAAAAACACCATCTGGAAGAAGTAATAAGGATATAAATACATTCTGGGTGGAGTGCTTCAGCAGCAGACACCAAGAATGGTTTTGGTACAACCACCACTGATCAAGCTGGCCGAGTCACAAAACACATAGCTGCTAGTCTGAGTTTGCAATGTGCGGTGACAGGACTAATACAAGGGAATAAGGTTGCAGATGTTTACTTTCTGCTCAGGAGAGGCAAAATGTTACACATTAAGTATTATTGTGTTAAGAGTACCTAGGTTGGATAATTACTAGGCATAATTTGCTATGATTAGTTCAATGGAAAATTAGCACAAAAATACAGTTTCATGAAAATAGGGGGAGATTAGGCATAATGGGCAATTTTTGGAATTCCCAGGTGAATGAACACAAATCGATCAGCAGTTCATCCTTGACCTCCTCACAAGCTGATGATTGGTTGGTTTATTAATAATGATATGCATTATTCAGCTATATTTCTTTCCAGCAAACTTCATTAAAATGTGTGTGAAGATATGGGCAAAATACCATTATTACTCGAGAGATAGCAAGTGACATACAATCAATTAAAAACTAATGATCTCTTAAAGGGACTGAACAAGAAAAATTATGCCAATGAACAAACAGAAACTACAATTTACTGAAAGTAGTAATGCTTCTCCAAATACACACTCTGGTTTTACTATGATGTATACAATATGAGAATTCTAAAATGATCCAATGCTTTCTTTAGTTTCCTAACCACAAAATGAATGACAGCATGCAGAAAGATGTGTCTATTTTTGCACACATCTCTACTTGTATTTTACATATATTTATGGGGTGACTTGATTGTGCGTTTATTTTAGAAAGGAGACCTCATGGTATTTTTTTAATCCTACAATATGAAATATACACTAATAGACATGTCACTCATATCCAACGCAATATCATTCCCATATGTTTCGCGTCAGTTCTTCTGTATAGACTTTGTAAAAATGCATGTCCAATAGAATGAATGTGCAAAACCAACAAAGAGCAATGCAATAATATCGAAAAAACAGCTTTCATCATCTAACACTTCAGATGGTTGTAGCAGCTGAACTACTGGCATGCATTTCCAATTTATGTCTGCATCTAGAACAATGCAACTCTTACACTATACATGTATAACTGTAGTTTTAAAAACATTGAAAGGAAGTTTAAAAAATTAACACCATTCAGTCCACTGTGTTCAAGCTGGGCAAAAAAGATATTTCTAGTCTAATCAAGTGTATTTGCATTTTCATTTTGTGGTATAGATTTTAAAAAGCAGGGAGGTTATGTTGGAGCCATACAGGACTTTAGTTAACCGTAGCTGGAGTACTGTGGCAGTTTGGGTTATCACACTGCAGGAAGGATGTGATTTCATTGGAGGCTGTACAAAGGGGAATCACCAGGATGTTGTCTGGAATAGAGCAGTTTAGATATGAGGACAGGACAGATTAGCTCAGGTTGATTTCTTTAGAAGATTGAGAGGGAACCTGATTGAGGTGTATAAGTTGATAAGGGGCGTGGATAGGAAGCAGTTGTTCCACTTATTTGCAGTGTAAATAACAAGGCAGCATAAGTTCAAGGTGAAAGGCAGGCCTTTGAGGTGAGGTTGAGGACATCGTTTTCATACAGAGGGTGGTGGGAAGCTGCAATGCACTGCCTGGGAGGGTATTTGAGATGGAAACCTCACAACCTTTAAAACAACTTGGATGAGCATTTGAAATGGCACTGACACTCAAGGCTATGAACATTTGGTGGAAAGTGGGACAACTGTAGACTTAGTGTAGTTTTTTTGTTGGTGCAGACACAATGGGCCAAAGGCTCTCTTCCATATTTTAAGATTCTATGAGGTACAAAACCTACAAATTGGTGATGATGGGGTCATTAATTATCTGAATACATTCTTGGGTACTAATAGTGTAAAGAGATGGATAAGTGTTTCTGATATTTATTCAAGAGAATGTTCTTGTTCTGTCAGTTTCCAGTCCAAGAAGGAAGGAGGTATGACTTTTTTTTGGAAAAAAGGTGGGGGAATTGAGTTAAACATAATCAGAAAACACGTCAGGAATAGTAATCACAGTAAGTTTAGATTATGCACTGAAAAGGACAAGGCATAATGCAGAGTAAAGGTACTTAATTGGAAGAGGGTCAACTTGAATGGAATAAGAGGAATTGGCCCAGGAAAATTGAAATCAATATAAAAACAGAGAGTGTTGAAGAATTTCAGCAGATCTGGCAGCATCTGCAGACAGAGAAAAACAATGTTAACATTTTGAGTCCAAGATGCTTCTTCTTCAGAACTCAACTGGAATCAATGATTGGCAGGAAAGAACAGCAACAGAATTATGGCTGCCCTTATAGATGAAATAATTTGATACTTTCAAGTTTGGTAATGGTCTAGTGATATTTTTGCCAGATTAGTAATCTAGAAACCCAGGTAACATTCTGGGGGCCTAGGTTCAAATCCAATCACAGCAAATAGTGGAATTGGATTCCAATACAATTCTGGAATCAAAAATCTAATGATGACCATGAAACTATTATTGATTGTGATAAAATAGTTCAGCATCCAGGACAAGAGAAGAATGACAAATGTTCAATTGATAATACAGATCAAAACCAGGCTCACTATGGATATATCAGAGCAAACATATTAAAAAGAAAAGTAAGAGAAGTGAGGTGACAGTCTGAGAAGTCACTGTCAGCTTTTCCTGTAGGGTTGTAGGTAGTAAAACAGTAAAAAGAGGAGATGTGGTGGATTGAGAACCAAAAAAGAGATTTACACATGAGGCATAGAGCAGGGTTGAGGCACAAAGTGAATACTTTGAGTCAGTACATACCAAGGAAAAAACAGACCAAAGCCACAGCAAAAGATAGCTCAGAAATTGAATGGAATAAAAACTAATCAAGAGGAGGTATTAGAAAGTTATCTGTACTTAAAATTGATGATGCAGATCTTCCCCAAGTCAATGATGCAGCAAACATCTCCCAAGATCTTCCAATTCCCTCTGTCACAGTAATGCAGAGATCACTGGAGACCGAATATACGACTGAGGATGCCTGTTGGCACCCAATATAAGTTTTAATGCAGAGATCTTCTTGGGAAATATCCTAGAAATTTAAACTTTCAATAGGCATTTCCCCTGCTCCCTGGGACCTTCCACAAAATGTCTCTGGCTCCAATCTAAAGTTGTAGAGTTCAGACAATTCCACAGCATTTACCCAGATAGTTAACCAGAAGATGTTAGACGGATTAAAACCTAGTCTAACAACTGGAGAACCACATAACTGACCCCTCCAGTCCTGAATATAAATTGCAGATATTAATCTGAATGCTGTGCATCCCTTCATCACCAAAAGCATGATAATGAACAAATGACTAGTGTAAATATATCTTAGGGTGAAGTCTCTGCTGAACCCATCTTTATAATAGGAAGCAATAATCAAAGAAAGAATGGTAGGATATAGGATTTAAATGCAGCAGTGCTGGTTCTCTCACCCGAAGTCCCTGCGAGTACATTTCACTAAGGAAACATGAGATTGAAAAATTTATTTCAATATGTTACTATCCCGCTCAGTTAATAAATAAACATTAAACATCTTAAAGAGTCTAATTCAGACTCTGCTTACCAATCTAGGATCAATTTCTTCATTCAGAATAGCTTCATTCTTGATAAGTGCGACTCTCTGTGCAAATCTGCATGTTGAAATAGATTCCTAGAGTTGAACAAAAAAATTGAGCAAGTGATTACTCAAACCAGAAAGTCACTAGGCACACAAGAACACAAGTAGATCATTCACCCCTCGAGTCCCCAAAACAGATGATCTGTCTTTATTGACAAGCCTTAGTTCTACAGTCCTTAAAATTACTAGCAAAAAACTATCACAATCAATTTTGAAAATATCAATTGGCCTAGCCTTCAGAATTTTTTAGAGAAGTGTGCTCCAGATTTCCATTGTCCATTACATGAAGAAGTGCTTTCTGACATCGACTCTAAATATCTTAGCTCTATTTTTAAGCTCATGAACCTTTGGTATGAAATTCCCCCATAAGAAGAAAAGGTTATATCCAACCCAAGCCGTCAACTCCTCCAATCTTAAATGTTTTGATTTGGTTTGATTTATTATTGTCACATCTACCTACAGAGAAAAGTTTTGTTATGCGTGCAGCACAGACAGATCATCTTAACTATATTAAGAGCTCAAATATCTGTACTCAACGAAATACAAAACCCAATCTGTGCAAACCTTATAAACAGTGCCAATACTACATTAAATACACTGAAAGAGTAAGTCACTTGACAGAAACAAGGACAAACTGTACTATGTGCACTCCAAAGCCCAAAAAGCAATGTGTATAATGCTACATCGATCCACTTCATCATGGACTAAAGTCCGTCTTCAACATTTATGGTCTTAACTTGTTGGACATAGTGAAAAACAGAATTATAATGCCAAGTGACTTAAGACATTGCAAATTAGACCCTCAACAAGGATATCATGGGTATCATGATGTGGTGACATTTTTTGACTGGGTCCAGTTGGATTTGGAAAAGTGATTTTGAGGATTCTGTTTTAAAACAAGTGGCAATATGCCACACCACCATTCTTCCACCACCCTCTTTGAGCTTTGATCCCCGCTCAGCTCTTCTGGACTGAAATTGTTCAATGATTCTGAAAGTCAGAGAACTCTGGCAGTAGGAACTAGCCTACTTAATAATACACTTTGTTAGTGCTCCATGTGCTTTTATGATTGCAATAGCTATAAACATCATTAATTTTTTTTTACTTTTCCCAGAGTAATTATATTTGTACAAAGTCCGTGAGTAGGAGAAGCACTTCCTCTGACAGATGAGACAAGAGGGCACAAATTTAAAAAGTCATTGACAAAAGAATCATAGATTATGCTATTCGAGGAAAGAAAAAAAATTTTTGGAGCAAAGCTCCACCACTAGTTCCTCACAATCTATTTTACCCCAATGTAAGTGGTGTCTCATTCTTGGAGGTGCTCCTTAAAGGTCGCCTGGTCTTCTTTAAACAGCCTCGTCGTTTTCTTTCACCTAGTAGCATTTATTCTATTTCTGCTTGGATGAGAGACAAAGGACATGTCCTACCAATATCAATTATCCTCCATCTCAATGCCCCACGGACACCTCCAACCAGTCCTCTGTAGCACTTCCTTGTCAGTGATAATGCCTCTCCATATAATGCTCAGGATCCTATGTAGGTAGCACTGGAGAAAGGTGTTTTATTGTTCTTTTCCACCTAATGTCTAATTTGGAATGAGGTTATTAAAAAGCTCAGGCCCCTTACCAATGATCTATGTTTTTGAGCCAGGCAATTTGTTTTGCATTTTAATCTAAATGAAGTAACAAATTATGTCTCAGTTTTTTTTTGCCTATGTTTTGATTCAGTAACATGGCAACGAAAGGAACAGATTGTAGCATCACAAAATATTTTAACGGTCCAAATAAATATTTTACATCCTACCTGGGAACCATTAACTCCAACAGTTAATATGCAGGAGCTGCAAGCCATTAGCAAAACAAATGGCATGTTAGCATTTATTGAAAGGGAGTTGGAACAGAAAAAGTAAGGATATTTTCCTACAATTAGATAGGGATTTTGTGAGACCACCCCTAGAGTAGTGTGTGAATTCCGATTTCTTGTCTAAGGAAGGTACACTCAGTGCAGATGAAACTAGATTAATAGCTGAGATAAATGGACACTCTATAGGTAGACAGTGAGTAAAATGAACCTCTATTCTTTGAATTTTTGAAGACTGAGAGGTGATCTCATTGAAACATGTAAGGTCCTTAAAGGGGGAGTAGATATTGAGAGTCTAAAACTAGGGAAATAGGCCTCATGCTAGCTGTATCATTCCCTTAAAAAGGAGCCTATCTGGGCCAGGAATTCATTAATGCAGCACGGTTCTTTCAGTCAGCAGGTCAGAGATTGAAAGGAGTTATGTTGAAGTATCAGGGAGTTACCAATGCTATGTCCAGAAAAAAAAAATGGGATCACTCTATAAACATAAATTCTGTTTCAAAACCACTACAAGAGTATGGGCCCTGATCATGAACCCTGCCTCTGTCATCATGCCACTCTGTCTTTTTCTCCTCAGCGTATTTTTTTTTATACCATGGACTCCAAACTGGACTACAGCAACGCCTGACTTTCAGTCTTCCTGCACCCTTTACTATCTATGGCTTTGGAAGAAAGTGCTGAGGCTCCATCTTTTGTAATTTTCAAATCCCAACTTAAAGCAGGATCCAGAAAATCTAAGTTCTGGCAGACCTCCACGTATGGTATCTGCCAGAAAAGTCAAAGAAATTCAGCAGTAATATTCCAAAACCTATTTTAGCAATTGTGAATGCAAAGTTACATTACCTTTATCTTTGTTAATGAAATGCACTTGAGATACTTTCATGTACCAGATTAACCCTGTTGATAACAGTTTTGCATTGACTGAAAACTTGATGCATAAATAATAACTGTTTGGTAAAAATAGTGTCCCATGTTTGCAACAGATGTGAAGCTGGAAAAGCACAGCAGGTCAGACAGCATCCAAGGAGCAGGAAAGTCAACGTTTCAGGTCAAAACCCTTCATCAGTCCACTTCAAACATCCTACAAACCCATGTTCTGAGCTCCACATAAATTAGGGAGTAAACAAGATGAAGATACCTCTAAGTTCCTCTTATCCACAGATAAAGTTGCAATCATTGTCGTCATACAGTTTCCTCCCAGGCTGTCCCTCAGAACAGATGTCATCATTGAATTTCGATAAGGGATGTGCGTACGATTCTTTTCTGCAAGTGCGATTATAACCTGTAATTTCAACAAACAAATTCAACTGTGCTCTTTGGTGCATAGAAAGTGGCAAACAAATTCAAATTTGGAAATTGTGAGAAGTGGAATGCTTCATATTCCTTCCCTTCAACTTTAATTTTAAACTGAAGTTCAATGTTGTGCCAGAAAAGGGTGATACACGTATCATTAACAGTGTTAGAAAGGGACAGACTGTCAATCCAATACAACAACAGTCAAGGCTCTTGTTAGGAAGCAACAGGATGCCATTTTACACAAGCAGTCAATACAAGATTATAAAGGGAGGAAAATGTCAAGGTCAGGAGAAAGTTCGGTAATTGAGACCACCTGACGTGGGCAGCACAATTTACTTCAACTTCTACTACATGGTTATGAAACAGGTGTAGACTTTTATTTGGAAATATGAAAGCTACCTCCATTCCACAATTTCACCTGGTTTAAAATTCTGTACAAATCTATTACATATATTCATAATGTTACTTATATATATTGTTATAATGTCATTTGGATATAACAGTTATAGCAATCATACAATAAAAACAATGACTACTTTTGCCACTAAACCATTTTCAATTTAACAAAGTAAATATCTGGTGTGCTATGCAACCGTACCTGTTCCAGGTATGATAGGGACAGGTTGATGTATTTAGCCTCTGTCAATAGCAGTCCTCCAACTCCAGTCTTCGTGACACGTTCTGAGCCAGCTAAGTCCACCAGGTGCAATTTGGACCGACGAATAGTTGCAGAGCCTGGCTCACGACTGGAAACATGAATGGTAAAAATGCAATGGGATCGTGTTGAGGCCTGGTTCATAGGTGTCTGATAAATGAAGAAAAAATGCATAAATATCAGCTGTGACTATCACTATTAGAGTATTATAGAGTTATAGAGATGTAACTATACACCTCTATATGTATACATGGAAACAGACCCTTCATCCAACTCATCTGTGCCGACCAGATATCCTAAATTAATCTGTCCCATTTGCCAGCATTTGGCCCATAGCCCTCTAAACCCTTCCTATTCACGTACCCATCCAGATCCCTTTTAAATGTTGTAATTCTACCAGCCTCCACCACTTCCTCGAGCAGTTCATTCCATACACACACCACTCTCTGTGTGAAAAAGTTGCCCCTCAGGTCCCTTTTATATCTTTTTCTTCTCACTTTAAACCGATGCCCTCTAGTTTTGGACACCCCTACACTAGGGAAAAGACTTTGGCTATTCACACTCTTCATGCCCCTCATGATTTTACAAACTTCTATTCTTAACTTATTTTTCAAAAAAGACTCCAACAGCAGGAGTATATAACGGTAAGGCATTGGAGCATTATACTCTGGCAATCTCACTCTAATCTGTAACTTACAAGGTTCATGATTTAGGGTCAAACTTCATTTTCTTGTTTCCCATGATTAGCCAAAGGAACACATGCTGTTTGTTAGATCCGCTAGACTTGCTATTTGTAATAGGCAGGATACTAACTGTACTCAATCAGCCCAAGCTTACAAAACTCTAACCACAGTGTCTAACATCAGATGTGATTCATGATTGGAGGACATTTGCTAAATAATCCTGATTGCCAACAATTACAGTAACAAACAATTTAAGATCGTCAGTTGGACTTGCAGTTTGGTGTATTTGCACAGACTGTCAGCTACATATGTTAGTACAAAGGCTCCTGTTCTTCGCAGATAGAAAAAGCTTGCATACAGACTGAACCTGTTTCAACTAAACAAGATAGGTCATTCTCTGACCAGACTCTACCTGCCTGGTTTAAATTTAAACAAACTTTGGCAGTTAACAGTCAATCATCATCTAATTGGTACACTCGAATGGCAATACACTATCAACTTACAAACCAATCAGCATGCTCTTCTCATACAGTGTGAGAATCTTATTTTTGCTAATTTTCCTGAGTTGCAGACCAAAAGCTTCAAATAATTTTATTTTTCAATACCAACAAGCAAATATCACAAGTAAGTTAGTCTCTTTCCCTTGCATTTAACAAAATCCAAATGAATGAAGACTGTCATGAGACAGTTGACTGTTTCTACTGGATCCTAACCAGACCTGTACAACTATGGCATGTGATCACTGCAGTTGGGTGAAGAATGACATTGCAGAAACTTCTTTATGCAAATATCTTACCACATGCCCATGTAGGGTTTCTGGTGTCTGGAATAAAGCAGCCTATAACATGATAAAGCAAACAGCTTATGATGCACAACTGAAAATCACTCCCAAATTCATGTGGTTGAGTCTAGTCTGAATACCATGCTTAAAAATTACTAGTGCTACAGAGACGTTAGCTTTAACCAAATAAAACAGCTCTACGTTGCAAAACTACAGAATACTTCCAATGTGAATGCATGTCTGTCATGCAAAAAAGACTAACTGACAAGTTCACTAACAAACCTGGAGGCATTGATGATAATTAAAACAAATATGCTTATATAGTGGAGCAATAAGGCTTTGTCATACAGTACCCTCTCAACACAATTAAAATATTTGGGAATGGAATGGTCAGAGGTGATACCCCCTCTTTTGGGAGGAGGGATCCCTCCAGAAGGTAACTTGCAATAGTCTGTCAATCTGAAATGAGTTGTTGTGGTTACTACAGGAGACCAACTCTAAAATTCCAGTCGACCTGGACAAAGGTCTTAATCAGCCCCTAATGGTCTCAGCTATCTTGTCCTCAATCCAAGCTCCCTAAAAACAGGCTGGAGACAGAACTGTGCTAGAAATCAGCACAGCAGACAGGGGTAGGAGTTTTCAGGCTAATGTCTTTTTCCCACAGACTTACAATATTCTTTCCACTGAGTCATGATGGCACAAACAGTGACTATTCAGCAAATCAAGACCATCATTGAATTTTCTGTTTCAATTTTGAAATCGTAGGGCAGGCTAATTTCCAATGTTGCACTCACATTTTCTGCCTGTGAGTGCTCAGTCATGCCGCATTCACAGCACAAAATGGACTGGAGACCAGACCACTGCCTCTGGAAGCCGGCTGGAAATGGAAAAGAAGGCAATCCGAATGTGACAGAGAACAGAGTTGAAGACACCAATCCATCGCCAGAGACATTACCTCAGTTCTGTACATAAATGTTCAGCTCGTTAATCCTCAACCTTCATCATTCACTCAGGTGACCACTTACAGAATACTGTTGGGAAATCAAAACAGACCACATCTACAGGTTCCCCTTAATCTGTCCTGACCGCTTTAAAATAAAAGAACATGAATAAATGTATTGCACAGGAATACCCTTTCATAAAACCATGCTGGCTCCTCCAGATAACATTATGAGTTTTCTAAATGTTCTGCTACTCCCTCTTTGAGAAGGGATTCTGACATTTTCATAGTGACAGACATTAAGCTAACTGGCTACTACTTCCTGCTTTCTGTTGCTCTCATTTCAAGATGGAGTTGTTACATTTGCGCTTTTCCACTTCCCTAGGACTAATCCAGGACCTAGGGAATTGTGAAACATTACAATCAATGCATGAACCATTTCTGCAGCCACTTCTTTCAAAATCCTGGGACGTTCTCTCCATACTTCCCATATATCTGCCATAGCCAAACTCTGGTAAAGGTAAAATTGCCATAGTCTTATCAGACATATCAGACTCTCTCATTAGACAGATTCAATTGGTGGTGGCTTAACCTGAGAGTCACTGCACCTCAGGTGAGGGGAGAGGTTGAGAATTGTAACCTCAGCCAGGGCAAGAATTGAATCCACTTTATTGGCATCACTCTGCATTGCAAACCAAACCAACTGCCCAGCCACCTGAAATAACTGACCACCATAAAGTTCAGGCTCCACTGGAATCGAACCTATGATTTTCTATTGCGCACGGTCCTTAGGAGGCATATAATAACAAAGAGAATTCTTTTAAACCATGGGCGCGTATGTATGTATGTATGTGTGTGTGTGTTGGCGGGGGGACAGCAGTGAACAAGATGAAAGAATAAACCTCTAACTATCTAATAAAACTCTGAATCCACACACTACATTGTTGCTGTTTATATAAACCTACTCAAGCACAAATAAAAATGTAATACCGCAAGTGTCTATTAAGCTTGTAAACAAACAAGATACTGCATCAAAACCGTATCAAAATTTCTCTTGAAATGTCATTAGTTTTTAAACCATAAAATATAGGAGAAGAAGGAGGCCATTTATCTCATCATGTCTGTTCTGCCACAGCTGATTTGACAATTTCCAACTCCATTTTCCCCATAACCATCTATTCCCTTACCAATATACCAACTGCAGATATTTATAGTTTTTGAAATTCAGACAAACATTCATACTGCACAACATGCACAACAAAATATTTTAGCTACTTTCACCTAAACTGAAAGAACAGAACCAAATCAGAGTACCTGTCGATTAACGGTAGAAAGGGTGGACAGTTTTTCAACTTTCAAAATCTGGGTTATTTTGTAAAACAGTCAGAGCTCTCAGTTGATTTCAAATCACACCAAAAAATAACAAATTTAAAAGGACATTCTTCTACATTCTCAAATGCGTTATGGTATGTTTAACAATTGGAAAAGTACTGTAAAACATGACAGAAATTATAAAATGCTAGCCAATGTATGGATCCATTTATCTTTGTAAGTCAATAGACTATAATGAATCATTACATTAAAAAAATGGACATGACGATGCAGAATACTGACACCTGAACATGTCAAACATTTACCTCTCCTTCAGAATGCTCACACTAGACTTCCCCAAGTAGTCCAAGCTCTCTAAGGAGGTTTTCTTTCAGGAACTTACAAAGAGTAGGACATGAAGATTATGTGCAGGATATATGCAATTTTCCTATGGTCCTCATAACGGGCACATAAGGCCTTCAGGACCCACTAAAAGGCCACATAAAAAAGTAGTGTGAGGTGATGAGCCTTGAAAAAATACTGTATTTTGCTGAAAAAAGTAAGTTTTGTTTTATGATGTAATTTACAACTTCATTGGGATCTAAAAATGCCATCACCTTCTCATGCGTGCTCAAAACAGTCAAATGAGCAATGGACAACTGAAAGGAACTACAAACAAATACCTTAGAATATTTCAGCAAAACCTCCTTCTATCAATTGTAGGAGAATCTGATATTTGCATTGTTGTTCATCCCTCAATGGCCTATGAAGATAAGGCTCTAATGATGTTGTAATATTAATTGGCATTGTGCAGAGTCAAAATAGTAAGGCATCTGATACGGAATCTGCCTCTGCCTCTTTCATTCCCGAAGCAATGAAACAGTGTTTCAAGATTGAGCTAAGTACTTTGAAACTGCATTATGAAAACTGAAATTTCTATTTTCTCCATCTAGTAATTGATCAATTACAGCATCAATAAATTGAACCATGAACTCAATAGCAAATCAATTTTCACTGCACTTCGCAGCAGTAAATGTAGTGTTGATATGCTCCGGCACTGGAACAGGAAAAAAAAACAATTATTATAAAGCAACAGCACTAATGTCACTATAAGGTTAAGTACCATTCAAGTACAAATGAATAGATTAAATTGATTTTGGCTCATGGATTATTCCACCAACTCCTTGTCATTATGAAGCCTATTTCTTGACCATAAATTGCAACTGGTGCAAGAGGAAGAGCAATTGAGTGCAATTTATCCTGTACAGTTTGGTTTTGGATTGCAGACGATATTAGAACACTTTATCCGCCAAACTGAACTAAATTGAGAATAATCAAAAAGTCAACTTATTTTCAGTCCTATCTCATCTATGTTCGAAAACAAGGATTTTCACTGATCAATTCAACTACGGCCACTATTATGTTGAGCTAGCAA